TTCGCAGGCGCGCCTCGCCGCACTCGCGGCCGGCCTCTCCGGTTTTTAACTTTCTTGGGTTTAGCCCGACAGCGAACCGCCGAGGGAAAAACATGCAAATGACGCGGAGCAAACGACAGTGTCACAGGCGTGCTGTTATGCACGTTTCTCTGCACCTGACAAACTGATCAGCAGTAACAAAATTAGCGGTTCTGTGAACGCGATAAAATACAGTTAAGGGAAGCGCAGGCTAGCAAACGTTAAGGAAACGGGAAAATACTAAAATTTGTGGAAGGAATCAAGAAAACCTCCATATTGTTGAAGAAGTAACGTACAACCCAACCGAACCGGGTTTAAACCCTACCTTGCCAGTCACGCTTTCCCCGCCAGACCTCAGCCCTCATTTCAGCCAGGCCCCAGGAGACGGGCTGGCCCCCCCGCTGGAGGGCAGCTCCCAGCCGGCGCTGCTGCTGCGGGGGCTGCTACCGCCCGCCCCCGCCTCCCAGCCGGAGCCGGGGAGGTTCGGCTGCCGGGCGCAGCTGGGCGCCCTCGGCATCCCCGGGCAGCGCCCTCATAACCCCCGCTGTCGCCGCGGCTTTCAGCCGGTGGCCTTGGAAATCCTCCCGCCGCCGAGTGGAGACAGAGGTTTGTTTGTTGGGTTTTGTGGGTTCTTTTTCTTTCGGGGCAGCTTCACAATTGTAAGTTTTGTGTGTAGCTTTCTGTTTTGTCCTCTTGGTAGTGCCTTTATACCAAGTAATGGGAGGCTGTGCAAAACCGGTTTTGACAACTTTTTAGTTTTACACCAAAGAAGTTTAGCTTTAACTTATGGTCAGGTGTAAATTACAAACATGAGATGTTAGCTTGTAACTTGGAATTATCTGAACAGCTTTAGATGGCCTTAACTATCAGCAACTGATATATTTTATAGATACACCCTAGAATAAAATACGTAAAGTAATAAAACTTGAACTAAGATGGGTTTGTTTTCTTTCATGCAGAGAAATTGTCTACAATCCCAGAGTGAAAAAGATTTCTGTCTATGATGATGACAGATTTTACAGGAGAGCATACGGTAATGTTGGGCTTTACTAGAATAGAGAAAACTGTTTTTAAATGGAAAAATCTCATAAAGAGTAATACTTATACTGCAGCAGTGTTTCAAATATGCTAACTGCTGTAACAAACACTAGCCAAATTTACAGCTGAAGAATCTTACAATCCAAACAGAAAAGTGGGAGGAAGGGAAAGAGGGATTTTTTTTTTCCCCCTCAACAGTAATTTTTAAAATCAAAATAGCAATTGTAAAGGCTGCCAGGATAAACAGCCTTGAATATTGCATTTATATATAGACAATGAAGCACAAACTGCAGTCAACACTGATTTAGAATGTACATTTGCCAAAAAGAAGTAAATGCATTATGCAGCTGTATCTACAACAACCTGTAACTGCTGCTTTTTAATTCTATAAATGGCATTACTACAATAAAATCAGTCCTCCAGGCTAATAAGTATATGATTCTAAGGTGCTATTCAAATGAACTCTTAAGTGATAACCTACTATAAATTGCTTCAAAACTGTTCAGTTCGCACCTTGAAGGCAATTTTAGGAAGGGAAGTCATATCTACGCCTGATGTAAAACTGGATTTTTTGTTTCTGCTTGCTGAAATCTTCAGAAACCTTTCACAATGCTTTGTAAAGCAGATATTTAAGTAGACGTTCAATATTACATACACAGGGTTTAACTGGAATCACGTATCCTTGTTTTGTTTCGGAACTGAAAAAGCAATGTTGTTGTTAGTAGCTGAAGTAGGAGCATAGTAACTTCCTGTTCATAGTATGTTGGGAAACTACAGTCTCCAACCTTTTAGGGGTGAGGAGAGAACGGGACAGAGAGACGTGTTGGACAGCATGCCACTCTGTGAGGAAACTGCACTTACCTATTCCTAATTGTTATGGAATGCTTCCTCTGTGCTTCACCCTTCTCCACAGACATCTTTCTTTAAACCACGTCCATTTTTCTCCCGCTTCATTGCTTGGGGGAAACAGCATGAATATGGGTAGCTTCCTCCCTACTAAATATGACCTCTTTTGTGTGACTTGCCCATATTTCAGTAGTATAGCAAATAGACTGTCCTCCCATCTCCTTTGTGTCTTTCATGCCTTCCTGCAGAATGAAAAAATCGTAGATGAATGCATGTGCTTGCAACTTCTTTGTGCTGTTTCCATTCCAAGAAACTGGCAAGGCAGTAAATGGTTTATATCTCACAGAATCTGATTTTTTTCTTCCCCTTTTCTATGTGTACTTACTATATGAGATAAAAAAGGAGAAGGAAGCATTTTCTAGTCTACTCTCTATTAATCAGAAGACAGGAATGACCCTGAAGAGATGACTTAACATCTCTGACCCAATGGAGATTGCTCAAAAGGAAAATGTATATGGTGTTCCTCTGTTGAAAAGCAAAGAACTGGCTTTTTTTTGGTTGGGTTTTTTTTTTTGTTAATTTGGAAGGGTAAGAAGTAATTTTCAATATGCTAAGCAGGTTACTCAAGGAAACTTGCATTCCCTAAAGGAGTTGGGCTCCAACTCAAGTCGCTTACATGAAAATATTCAGATCGCTTTCTGTCCTAGTAATCGGCTTTATCAGATGGTATAGTGAGCTTTAACATAGTCAGAATGTGATTTACTGTGTTCTAAAAACCTGTTAGTTCAGCAAGAAAAATTTAAAGGTATATAGTAGCTTGTACCAATGTATTTGCCAAATATAACTTCATATAAACCATTTGCCAAAACAAAGTTACTGTGTTAAGATGATAAATTCATTTAAAAAATATTGATAATTGTGGGAATTTAATGCTGCAAATCTCTGCTGTTAGGACAAAAATCCTATAAAAGTAGGATTCTAACCACACCAAAGTTACCCCATGTTTACCATTCTACAGCCAGGGACAGTCAGTAGTAGACTGAAGAGTTATTAGGAAAATGGTTATGATAAGCTTAATTTTTCAGTTGCATGGAAACCACTCCCTGGTATAATTCTTATCCGTTGATCAGTCATACAAGTTGAAAAATTATCTTAGCTGAAACTAGAGACCTCAGTCCAATCTCATGAAAGCTTGCTGCGTGGACTTTCTTTTCTCCTGTTCCTGGATCACAGTGGCTAGCTTATTCTGTCATCCATTCCACAACTTCCATGTGGCAAGTGCTTGCAAGGATGAACGAATAACTGGAGAGATTAGTATTAAGGTACTGCTGTTGGAATTTAGCAACCGAAATCTGTGAGAGGCTTTACAAGCATCTGGTTTACTACAGACCACCAAGAAATAGTCTGTATCAACGAGTATTTTGTTTGTAACCACTTTTAAATCTGCATTCTAATACCACAGGTTTTCTTTATGTAAGCGTTGTATGGAGGTCTATCACTACATTGACATAGTCTTCTTAATTTGTAGTGGTTACAAATACAGCACGAACTAAGCTTGAGGAAACTAATAGAGGGTTCAGAGTATCAAGAGGAACTGAAGTACGACTTCGATATAAAAGGGGAACTGAGGCATCTGGATACAAATGAGTCCTTTGTTTTCAATTATTACAAGAATGCACATGAGCAGAATCATAAACGCTATCAAGTTTTGGGACATTTGATTACCCAATATGTTTATGAGCTCCTGGAAAGAGTCTGTATGCTGCAGAAAGTTTATATTCCAACTGATGCTACAGAGGATGAACCAAGAAGTTTCTTTTTCATGAGCGAGAATGCACTAACAAGTTCCTCTAGCCTAATTGTCCTTCTTCAAGACCGTGGAGTTTTCCGTGCCGGACAGTGGGGGCAAAGGATGATTGTCAGTGAGGGTCTGGAGCATGGAACACAAATACCATTCATCAAAATGGCCCTTCAAAGCCACAGGGGAGTGATTGTACTGAATCCCAACGACAACTTTGTTGATCTGAAGACTGAAAAGGAGAGGTCAAGCTTTTCTACCAGGGAAGAATCACTGACTTCTACGCAGTCCGCCTGGTGGATCCCCAAGAGGGGCAGCAGCAGCCCCGAGGAACATACTGTGTATGTATGGGATCATTTCATTTCAAGGAGCGCAGCCAAGAATGTGGCCTTCGTTGCCCATGGCTATGGTGGCTTGGTGTTTGTTGATCTGCTGGTGCGGAGAAAATGGGCGGTAATGAATAGAGTGTACTCTGTGGCATTCATTGACTCCATGCACAACACACAGCACCAGACTAGAAGCGATCCACAAATACGAGAATGGATACGGAAATACTGCCGTGAATGGGTATCAAACAGTAAGCCTCTAGATAAAGCTGTAGGTTCTCTCGTGAAAGTGGATTGTCCTACTGTCTCTGCTGGAACGGAAAAGTACAATTTAGCACCCTCCTGCTGCTTACATGCCATCTTTAAGTACCTGAAGAGCACACTGAAAGCCAAGACCACAACAGCCTTTAGGCATTCGCCTGTTGCAACCAGAAGCAGCACAAGGAAGAAGAGGCAATAAATAAAGGTATACTGATTTGTTTTTGATAGTGGTCTCTTCCTTTCATAACTGCCCCTGCACCTTTCAGTCATCTAAGGACCTTCCCCTCACTGTGGAGCAACTTAACAGTTCTAAGTTCAAAGCTAGTTTGTTTGGTTTTGAGAAACACATAAATACAAGTTAACTATTAGGAAAGAAGTGCATTGTTGAAAGTTTTAAGCCACAAGCTTTCAGCTAGCTATGAAACCTAAAGTTGCACAAAATAAAGATGTTAAGGTATACCAACTCTCATCTGTATCATTCTTTAAATAAACATTCTGCAGTTATGGCTCTATAATCAAATTAAACTATTGGGGAAAACACTTGCTTCTTAAGTGCACAGCTTTCATTAAAAGGACAGATCCGGAACACAAAAAGCATGTAAAGGATCTATTTCCTCCCCACTGTATACCAAATAGTGTTTAAAATCTTCTAAGAGCTGGAGCATCCACATTCCTCCTCGAAGCGTTTACTGTTAAGTTGAACGATACTTCAGGGAACTACACGCTACTGCCTTCCCTCCAGCCAGAGACGGTGTGCCCCAAACACCATACAGCGAGCTGAAGTAATTTCCTTTTTAAAGCCAACTAAGCCAGTGAGGCTACTGGGCATGAGCTGCTATAAAAATACAATACTCTAGCAACCCGCAATTACCAAACTGATGCAAAAGAATGACATTGCTCTTTTCTCTCAGCTGTTTAATTTTAGACAGAGGTGGGAAGTAGAGGCAGTTTTCAAATGTCTGCACTCAAGGTTTGCAATTTATACAAGCAGAAGGTCAAATAACCTTTAAAGCGAATGTAAACAAAATAGTTATTCTGAATTTCCAATTTAATCCTGTGGGAATTAAAAGTGC